CCCCAAAACCCCAAAACCCCAAAACCCCAAAACCCCAATATTCTTGGAAAATATTGAATTTTATTGGAAGGTGATCCTGATGAAACTATGCAAGCAGGTTCTGAAGGTAAATCTTTGCCATCCTCTGCCTTGGGTTCAGGGCTGATATAGTTTTCTTGTGCACTTCAATCGATCTTCTAACCTGTTGAGGGTTTTTAAACAGATGGTTAGGAGCAAAATTCATATCATTTTGAATACTCGCTGCTCCATCTTGGCAAGGGAATAAATTATAATTCTGAGTCTTTAAGAAAGCAACTCTGGGAATTGATGCACTTCCTCTATTGAAGAAAAGTCCTATAAATTATTCTTAAATTTACTTTTAGTCTTCTTATCTTTGGAATAAGTTCTCTTTACTATAGAATTAAGTTAAAATATTACTCTTAATCCTTCGTGATGCATGTATTAGAGGCCTAGTTTGCTCTTTGTTGCTCTCTAAATGTCAACAACACTTAATACTCTGCATTGGAATCTGGAATTTGGATTTTAAATTTCAACTAGTCTTTGGTCTGCACTTATCTTCAAAGGTCTGAGACTCTCCTGTGCTCATTTTTGAGACTATTGATTTTTTAGAAGAAAACTTACTGATAGACTTGTGATGAGTATTACCCTTGCAAGTCTTCACCTTGGCCTCCTTTCTATCCAAACTCTGCTGTTTAGTTCGCTTCATTGATATTTTAATTTTGAACTTCTGACTCCTGGTTTGGCAACTATTTCTCTTGGTTTTAACATTTGTGACTATCTCCTTATTATCATTTTTGATAATATCACAGAGCAATTTTAGCTTCAGTCTACTAATTTTGTGTTTATCCTTGATTTCACTAATTTTCTAAAGAATAAATTCCAAATTTACCTGCAAATGGGGGCTGCTGGAGTATTTATCATTCCAAGTATCATACTTCTTAACAGAAGCAGATTTTAATTTATGAGATTTACAAACCTCATGTCCCTTGTTCTTTTTAACCTTTGGGCTAATCCCCGGAGATTCTTTGGGATCATTTTCAGCTTTCTCATCTTCTTCTGATTCGTCATCATCTTTCTTAGACCGCAAGATGTCAAGCTGTTGCATGAAGATGTTGTGTGATGGAGCAAATCTGTTCAAGATTGATTTTGAAACTATTTTCCAATCGACTATAGATAATTTTAGCTATTTTGTCACCTAAGAAAGTTAGTTCAAAGTCTAGAAATAAACGTATTGTACTAAATGGAGTAATAATTTTTCTATGCATCCTTGTATATTTTTGTTGTATTGTAAACTATTCAGACCATTTTCTTAAGAAAACTTGGGTCTTTTCGCTCATAAAAATCTGAATTTTATCAGATTTGGCACACATGCGTTAGTATAGTAAGGTTTAACACAAAAGACTCTCTGAAGAAATGTTATGAGCTTTACCTTTATTTCATTCCGTCTTTGGTATGTTGGGAAGGATCACTAATTTTTCTCATAAGGTCTGTGTTAACGAACATATCAGAGATACCAATCAGGAGGTCACTCGGATCTTCCGTGACAGAATGCCTTTTTAATATATTTAGCTTTCTTTTACCATTAATATTCCCTCTTTCATTTGTCCTATCCTGAGGAGAGCCATCCTTGAAATCATAGGAAGGGGGATTGCTGAAGTTCTTCAACTCTTGACGACTAGGGAAAGCATTCAGAGATGGACCAGGTATTGTTCCTGACATTTTTCTTGAGTTTATTTGTAAATAAATTATATGATTTCTCTTTTCACTTACTGGTTTTACAATTGGGGTTTTGGGGTTTTGGGGTTTTGGGGTTTTGGGG